TATTTGCTGAATATTCAGTAGTTAATCAATTATTCCATACGTTTCGAGTCTAAGTCATTTTTTTCGAGTTTTGACCAATTTCATAAAAAAAAAATACATAGATATCTACACAGTCGAACAATATTCATTACATATACCATGAGATATAGTTTAATGCATAATACAGAAATGATTTTTGAATTTTTCAAATGACCACGGATAGAGAAATGACCATAACCAATGTTGTAGTTCTCAAAGAGTCATACAAATTTGTAGTTGACAACTTTTCATTTGAAAAAAAAATCATCTATCGAGAGAAAATTATGTTTAAATTTTTCATATTTGAAATTCATTTTTTAAACAACTTCGGATAGAGAAATGATTAAAACCAAAGTTGTAGATCTCATAGAGTTATACAACTTTGTAGTTGATAACCTTTTCATTTGAAATCATGTTTCTAAGGAAAATTACGTTTGAATTCTTAATTTTAAATTCGAATTTTTCAAACAACCTCGAGTGAAGAAACAATCAAAACAAAAGTTGTAGGTCTCGAAGAGTTATAGAACTTTATAGCTGACAACTTTTTTATTTGAAATCATCTATTCATGGAACTACGTTTGAATTTGTCACATTTGAAATTCAATTTTTTCAAACAACCTTGATTGAGAACGGCCAATACCAAAGTTGTAGATCATGAAAAGCTATACAACTTTGAAGTTTACAACATTTTTATTTAAATTCATATAGGGTCCTAAATTTTTATTTTAAAATTAGATGAAAATAATACGAGGAGGAACTGAGGAAGAATATCTCATATGAACCCAAATCAATTTGGGGTGAAGTAGTTAGAGGAATAACGTTCAGAGGCGTGAAGTCACGGGTTTGAGCCCCGTGAACGCGAAACGCGCGAAAAATCACATGACCTGTGACTTCTAGACAACGATGAGTACTTATGATTATTTATTTAATATATATTATAGTTATTAATATATCTTTTTATAAACTTGTTTTAGAATTGGACATGTTTGATGTAGAGCAAAACTCAAACGACTTACAGCTGATAGAGTAGCTAGTACCGAAAAAAACTTCTTTGCCCACAGCCCAAGAAAAAAAAGACACGATTTGGCAATTGAAAGTAGGTTAAAAAAAGTTCAAAATTTTAATGTCGAGTGAAATTTTAATTAAGATTTAAATGTACAAAAAAGTAAAGAGTTTGACCGGAGAGACTTGAAATTTTAATTTCAATCTTAAATTTTCATCTTAGTGGCAGGGTTCATTGGTAGTCAAAAAAGTGAAAAATAAAAAATAGAAAAAAGTTCAAATTGCTTGAGAAAATTACAGAGATTTATGACATCAAATAGGTATAATATAAATATATAATTGATGAAGAATTTAATGATACTTATTTAGTATCATAAATGTTATTATTTTATTATATAAATATGGTCAAACTTGAGATGTTAGGACTCTTTAAGAAAGTTGGAATGACTTATAATTTAAGATGGAGGGAGTATTATATAAGAATCAAATTTATGAATTGCTTCGTCCTGTAGGCTAACAACTAAGAGCATCTCCAAGAGACCAGGTAACATTATATTCTAAATTACAAGATTTAGCCATTCTGTTAAATAGAAAAAATCCACTAAAAAAGTAGAGTTCCACAACAGCCTTTGTATATTTTCCCTTGTCTATATTTAAAAGTGACACGTCATATGATTTTTCGTTGAATATCTGATCGTGACTTTTTTTTTCTCGAATACGCAAGAGCGTTGCGTATCATTTGTATTAAGAAGAAAGATAGTTTAAATTACAAATGGCCTACGCTGGCTGGCAACAGAAGCTTAAAGGGGATTACATAGGCGTTAAGAACTATCTGCGGACGCGGTTTGTCGCCGTGTTCTATCCTGCTCCCGGCGTCGCCAAGCTAGAAAGTCCTGAAGCTCCAGCTTTTGCCCAGCGACCCGCTTCTTCTCTGATGGCCGAAATAAGGTCGAGAGGTGCGACGGCTGCCGCTATGAAGCAGCGCGCATTCCGTTGTTGCCATACTTCCCATGATACTAGCGCAAAGAGGGAGTCAATACCGGAACGTTGTACACCATTCCAGTTTGTGCGCAGCCGTCGCCACCAGGAGATGATGGATTGAGTTGCCAGCGGGAGCAGTTGACCGAAGGCATGCATGATGATTGTCCAGACCTCCCAATATGGCCAGGATGCGACGATATGGTCAATCGTTTCCCGAGCTTGGTCACGGAGATAGCATTGCTCCCTTGCGTCCAGTCCATGGCGCAAACGGCGATCCCCCGGCGGGGCCCTTACCTGTGGCGGCCCGCTGAGGAGTTTGGGTGGCCGACAGTGCCGGGTTGGCGGGCGACGGGCTGGGTGGGGGAGCGGCGTGGGGTTACACCGATCGCGACCTTTTATCCTCTCACCCTGTTCGCTTGTTGATTTCAGCCAGGCTTATTCAACCAGCCAACAGTGTTTTCCTCTAAAAAAAATCAGCACCAGCCAGCCCAAACCAACACCAGCACCAACCAGCGAACACGCCGTCTGCCTGGAGACGCATGGCTGGGTAGGGCTTCAAGGCTCGCCGAACGAAGACGGCCCAGTGCGTGCGGCTGCACCGGCCAGGAAGCAGCGCGTACTGCTACTTGCTTGTACCCTGGGCCCTGGCCACGGCCAGCGTGGACGTCCCCTGGCCACGCAGCTGCTTGCTGACTTGCGGCAGTAGCATCCAGCCCCTGGCCGGTGGCCACGCAGCTGCGGAGGGTCGTACTGCTACGTGCGGGAAGGGGAGGGCAGCGAACAGAAATTCGCGCGCGGGATGGGATAGCCAGAGAGCGCAGCGTGCTATCTACGGCTAGCGAAAGTTAAGGAATAACCCACTTGCTATTTTAAAAACTAAATAGCACACCTGTTGGACCTTAATTTTTATGTTAAAAAGCCAACAAGGATAGCATATTTGCTGGAGTTGCTCTAACAAGTAACAAGTATCCCAAGATTGCACTCGCAGCGAACTGATCATAGATCAGTTGGTGGGGTTTCTTGTGGTAGAACCTATTCACCCGGGTTTAAGTCATCGATTTGGCACGTGCGCTTGCATTTTTCTGGATTTATTCCAGGATTTTAACGGCGCTATGCTTTCAGTGGTAGACGACGTCCGATCCCCGTCGACAGCGAGACGCTTGTGATGACTTCGTGAACCATGAGATCTGCCTCAGTGGTAGACGACGTCCGATTCCCGTCGACAGCGAGACGCATGTGGTGACTTCTTGAACCATAAGATCTGCCGGCTTAGTCCTTCGAAAATGCTCATAGGGTAGCGTTTACGTAAGTGTGTTCATAGGGTGAGTGTGCGTGCATATTGTGAACGTTTACGGTGTAATTTAAAAAAAATTGTACTCGGCACGGCTAGAATTCAGGTGAGGTCACGGTTTGTCCACATGGGGCTTGCCTACACGTCCTTTTCAAAGGTGAGCTACACGTGATTAACTCACCTTTTGCCCAAAGAAATGCCTAGATTAATTTTTTTTTGTAGAAATATACTTCTCTTATCAAATAAAATGGCAAGATTTAAATTTTGCAACTCTAAATGACGAGATTTCTTTTCGCCGGCGAGATTTTTCTTTTTTGTATGGCGCCTCTTATGGAAGTCAAAAGATTTTTCATGAGTGTAGATAGAGATAACAATTACAATAAAATTATAATATGTAGCTTTACAACTCACATTTTTCTTATGTTTGAAGCTATATCGGTGTTGAAGTAATCGATACAATATTTAGATCTAAAAATTAATTATTCAACAAAAATTATCATCACAAAGTTGTATATCTCATTAAACTTTAAAAAATCATATAGATTTTATCTCCATACAAGGTAATAAAAGTGTTATGATTTTTTACATATAGTGCGTAGGGGAGTATTACTTTATAAAATTCTAGAGCATGATGATAACTACACCTTTGTGAGCCCCTACATTTTTATTTGAGGTCATCTTGATATCGAAACAACCGATATAATGTTTATATATATCTACAGGTACATGTACGAACATAGGAGTATTGATTATTTTAGCATCAAGATGATTTCAAATAAAAAGCTTCCAAACTATAGAGTGGTATATCTCATCGAGCTCTATAATTTTCTGAGTTCATATGTATAAAAGTTATCATTCTTTTTTTAAGATAAGATACATTGTGCAGAAAAGGATAATCTCATCATTCTAAAATGATAAAAAGGTAAAACTCGTCATTTAAAGTGGAGAAATTTTGAATCTCACCAATCTGATATTGGCGAGAGGAGTATGTTTCTGCAAACTTTTGATTCGGGCAATTATTTATTAAAAATGAATTGGAAAATAAAATAATAATTCAACGTCTTGTAAGTCGTAACGAACAATAGAACAAGCAGGCCCAACAGGCCTAGAATCTTGGTTGGGCTAAATTGTCATTTTTTGAAGCCTAAGGCTGTCTCCAACCAGAGACCCGTCGGAGAACCCAGACTCCAAATAGGTCTCTAACACAATACATATAGCCTCCAACAGAGTACTTGTATGAAAGACCTATTTTGGGTGTCAGGAGGGGTATAACCCAAATCTGAGCATCCTCTCTCCTGGAGACCCATTTGCAGAAAAGATTATCTTTTGGATCTTGTTTTTTGACGAGATCAAAAATAGGTATTGAACCTTTTACCTATAGCACTACATAAAGAATGAATGTGTGTTGTATTTTGGGTCGTGGTCGTGAACACGGTCTAAGAAAGGACGCCGGATGCTGGAAGATGCCTCGACCTGCTACAGGCAGTTGCCATTTTTCATGCAAGAAGCAAGCGGGAAGTTTGTAAATTTTTTACCAACTCCCAAATTAACCAGACTTCCTCAAATCTCTCGGCGCCATTGTTTCTCAACATGCAAACGAGGGCATCTCCCTTCGCTCGGCTGCTCTTTCTCCGTCCTCTCTGCTTTTCCCCAGGTAAGGGCGGAGGGAGAGAGAGAAGAAAGGGGAAGGGGGGCAAAACCGTCGACCATGTCGACGGCCTTCTCCGACTTCGGTCCGCTCACGGAGCGGCGGCGCGTCGAGAGGCAGCGGCAGCAGCGTAGGCGCGTCATGCTCGCCGCCGGCGCAGCGTCGGTCGTGCTTATCCTCATTGTCATGGGCGGCGCCGCCGTCGCGTACAACGCTAGCACCCAGGACGACTCGTCCTCGTCGTCCCCTTCCCCGTCCGGCGGCGGCTCGGGTTCCGGGTCGAACCTTATCAGCGCGTCCAAGAGCGTCAAGATGATATGTGCGCAGACCGACTACAGGGACGCCTGCGAGAAGAGCCTGTCCAAGGCGGCCGCGAACGCCAGCGCGTCGTCGCCCAAGGACATCGTCCGAGCCGCCGTGGCGGTGATCGGAGACGCCCTCGGGAATGCGTTCAACCGGTCGGAGGTGATCAAGAGCAACGACCCGCGCGTGAAGGCCGCCGTCGCGGACTGCAAAGAGATCTACCAGAACGCCAAGGATGACCTTGGGCGCACGCTCCATGGCATCGACGTCGGCGGCATGGACGGGGTCACCAAGCACAGCTACGAGCTCCGCGTCTTGCTCAGCGCTGTGATCGCGCACATGGAGACGTGCATCGACGGTTTCCCCGATGGGGACCTCAAGAAGCAGATGACTGACACGATGGAGTCCGGGAAGGAGCTGACCAGCAATGCGCTGGCCATCATCGAGAAGGCCTCGTCGGTCCTGGTCGCGCTCCACATCCCGGGGTTCACCCATCGCAGGTTACTTGGCAACAACGAAGAAGAAAACATGGAGAATCAACTCAAAGTTAATCACTCGGACACGTTCCGGGGGCGTGACGCCGCCGCCCCAGCGGCCGACCGGAGGCTGCTGAGCATCGACGAAGAAGAAAACATGGAGAATGAACCCAAAGTAAAACACTCGGGTACGTTCCTGGGCAAGCTCAAAGACGACGCCACGGCGGCCGACAACCGGAGGCTTCTCAGCGTCGACGAAGAAGGAAACATGGAGAATGAACCCAAAGTCAAACACTCAGGTACGTTCCTGGGGGAGGGCAACGACGACGTCCCGGCGGCCGACGGCCGGAGGCTGCTCAGTATTGAGGAAGACACCCCACAGTGGGTGAACGGACCGGAGAGGAGGCTGCTCAAGGGCAACTTCCAGGGCAAACTCAAGTCCAACGTGGTGGTGGCCAAGGACGGCAGCGGCAAGTTCAAGACCATCAACGACGCGCTCAATGCCATGCCCAAGCAGTACACCGGAAGGTGCCAGTGCCTGAATGCATGCTCTTTTCTCATCGAAACCAGCAAATGCAATGGACCGAGATTGCGTATGCATGCACCGATGATGACCCTTTCTGTCCTTTAATTTCGTGCGCGAGACAGGTACCTGATCTACGTGAAGCAAGGGGTGTACGAGGAGTACGTGACAATCACCAGGGCGATGGAGAACGTGACCATGTACGGCGACGGCGCCATGAAGACCGTCATCACCGGCAGCAAGAACTTCGCCGACGGCCTCACCACCTACAAAACCGCAACCTTCAGTAAGACGAAAGCAAGCATCCCTTTCGTACGCGCGGCCTCAAATCTCTGACAGACGCGCACGCGCGGTCGCTGCAGACGCGCAAGGCGACGGATTCATCGCCATCGCGCTGGGGTTCCGCAACACGGCCGGCGCGGCCAAGCACCAGGCGGTGGCGCTGCTGGTGCAGTCGGACAGGTCCATCTTCCTCAACTGCCGCATGGACGCGTACCAGGACACGCTGTACGCGCACTCCAAGGCGCAGTTCTACCGCAACTGCGTCATCTCCGGGACCATCGACTTCGTCTTCGGCGACGCGGCGGCCGTGTTCCAGAACTGCGTCCTGCTCCTCCGCCGGCCGATGGACAACCAGCAGAACATCGCCACGGCGCAGGGCCGCGCGGACGGCCGCGAGAGCACGGGCTTCGTCTTCCAGTACTGCCGCTTCACCGCCGAGGCGGGGCTCAGGGACGCGTCCCGCCCGCCCATCCGGAGCTACCTCGCCCGCCCCTGGCGCGAGTTCTCGCGCACGCTCATCATGGAGTGCGACATCCCGGCGTTCATCGACAAGGCCGGCTACCTGCCGTGGAACGGCGACTTCGGGCTCAAGACGCTGTGGTACGCCGAGTACGCCAACCGGGGGCCCGGCGCCGACACCGCCGGCCGCGTCGCCTGGCCCGGCTACAAGAAGGTGATCAGCAAAGAGGAGGCCGACAAGTTCACCGTGCAGAACTTCTTGCACGCCGAGCCGTGGCTCAAGCCCACCGGGACGCCGGTGAAGTACGGCTTCTGGGCGTGAGGACATTATTTCTTGTGGCACGCATGCATGGTGCATCTGAGTCGGAGGAGAGCAGAGGATGCGATGAAGCAGAGGAGGTCATCGGGTCCTTATGCCTAATTTGCCTATGCATGGTGGATCACTAATCTTCAACTGTTGGGCGCATGTTGATCCACGGACGGACGAGACAAGGTGCTGTGATGCTGACCATAATCCCTGTACAGTGTATCACTTGTATACTTATTTGTATTGTTTTGGATGCTGTACATGTATTGATGTATCAGATTTCTTTTTCAGTGTACCATATTATGAGTTGCAAAAGCAGTAAAGAGGATAGGCGATTCCTAGGGGCGGAAGAACTGATTTGTTTTTTTTTTAACTGAAGAACTGAGTTGCTGATATAGGAATAACTTAAACCATAGGACTTAACAACTTGCAGCGTGAAAATTAAGGGATTTCGCTACGAGCTCTCTGGTCAGGTCATTTCAGTCTTCTTCAGAGGGAGTTTGTCCATTCTCAGTTCACAAGTTCTTGAACATATGCAGTTTCCTGAACTTGTAAAACATTTGAGAAGTAACAGATGCACTGCTGAGTGCTGACTGCTTATTGCAGCTCCTCTGTTGACAGAACAAAACGGAAGACAAATACTAGTACCCAAAGAAAAAACTGAATCTCCGCCATTTCCACATACTTGTGTTTAAAAAAGGCCCAATCAAACAACTAATTAACCCACCATTTTCTTACATTCTCCTCCACAGATACCATGTAGTAGTAGGACTATTGTGCTAGTATATATAGGCCTTGTTCGGCTGACTGGAAAAACGGCTGATGCTGATGTTGATTTGTTGTGATAGAAAAACATTGTTATTTCACTGAAATGGTATGGCTGATAAGTTCAAGCGAATAGGGCCATAGTAGTAGGAGTATACGGTTACAATACTACTAAGCCTCCCTACACCCACCGAGGTTCAAGGATGATCAACTGATCAGGACGTGAGGCCGGCGGTGTACTTGACGCCGGTGGGCGGCAACCACATGTTGCCCTCGATGAACCGCGCGACGGTGAAGTTGCCGGCCTCGGCGGGGCTGGTCATGACGTGGAACCCGGGCCACTTGACCCGCGCCGCGACGCCGGCGCCGGGGCCGGTGTTGAAGTACTCCCCGTAGTAGAGCGTGTCGAGCGCGAAGTCCCCGTCCCACGCGAGCCACCCCTCGGGGCGCACCAGGTCGCCGATGTACGACTGCATGAACACCACCCGCGAGTACTGCTTCCACGGCCGGCCGAGGTACGTCTGCGTGGGCGGCGCCGCGGCGGCGGTGGCGTTGGTCGTCCCGTCGAGGAGGTCGGCGTGGGCGGAGACGTTGCAGAACTGGAAGGCGAATCCCGTGGTCATGTTGGCGTCGAGTCGCCCCTGCGCGGTGACGGAGTTCTTCTGGTCGGGCAGCGGGCGGCGCGCGAGGAGGGAGCAGTTCTGGAACACGGCGGCGGCGTTGCCGAAGACGAAGTCGACGGTGCCCGTGACGCGGCAGTCGCGGTAGAAGTGTCGGAGCGAGTGCGCGTACAGCGTGTCCTGGTAGCCCTCGAACGCGCAGCGGTGGAAGACGGAGAGGTCCGAGTCGCACCGCAGCGCCACGGCCTGGTGCTTCGATGGCCCCGCCGTGTTCTCGAACGTCAGGTCGCGCGCGATGAAGCCCTTGCCGCTTACAGCTGCAGGTGTGGGAGCAAAAACCGATCGAAATTGCGTCAGATTGGTGGTGGTTGGCAGGCACAGCTGCACTGCACAGGTACAGTAGGCAGGTCGACAAATGCCCATCAGACAGCCTGTTCGGGAGGCCGTATCGTATCGTGGATTATTTACTGCTGGCTGGTTTGGTGTGAGAGAAAAACACTGTTCCTAGCTGGAAATTTACGATTGTTTACGAGCAAGCGAACATGCTAGAGTCTCCATGACTCCATGCATGCGCATGTGCTCTGCTCGGCACCTGTGGGTGCGCCCCCATCGAGTACTACAGCACAGTACACTGTCCACTGGGCCAAAATGATCGCATGTTTCGTACTTAACACCTGACCTGAGCCAGGCACGAACCAGAGAGCCGAGACTGGACGGCGGAATCCCGAGCCGAGATCACAGATACGCGAGAATTGGGCGCTGCCGATGCCATCCAACCCGCAGGAATTGGCGCCCAGACGCGAACGCGAAGGATGCGCATATACGGACTCTCGAGCAGCAGGCGACGCAAGCAGCAACAGCAACGGCATCTTTTTTCTGCAGGAAGATGGAATCGCTGTTGCGTCGGTGCCGTCCGGACGGTCCTGGAGGCTGGAGCAGTGGAGCTCGATCGATCCGCGGCTCGCAAAAAGGACGCCAGATGATGATGTATCAATGCTCTTGGCCCCTCGGCAGATGGCTCGTGCCTGGAGCCTGATACTGATAGGGTGCGCTGGCCCTTGACCGGAGACTACGCGGAGTCGTCTCTGTCACACTCTGTGGGCAAGACGAGCTGCTAACCCCAGCGGCCCAGCCCATGCCCAGTTGGATACGGAGGGGCCGGGTTCATTTAAACTCGTGCATGCATGCATGGCATAGTATCCCAACTACAGTACACCGAAATCCAGAACTGGCCTGGTGTTAATGCTGCACGTTGGCAGTGTAGTTAAGGCGGGGCCGGTGAGGCTGGTGGCGGGAGGGGCTTGAATGGTATACCACACTACTGTCTACTGCTCAGTGCACTAGTCGTGCTTGTTCGTGGAAACTTCCGGCTCGCCGCAGTTGCACCTACCTACAGCAGCACGATCGAGTGCGGCACGGGAACTGCGTGCGCCACAGCCTGTACCGCTGTACGTGAGACGGTGCATGCCAGGGCCCAGGGCTCAGGAGGCAACTAAATAACGTGACATTGCATCAACTCCGGCAGCAGGTAACTACTTCTGCTACTGCCAAGCCCGTGCCAGGGCAGGCTCTCCTGATTTTTTTAACCATGGTGGTACGGCGCCACCCCTGGGTTGGTACCGCACCGACCCGTGCTGCTGCATGCTTTGCCGGTGATCTATGACATGCTTGCTGCCACACCTGACGTGCACCGCAACGTACGGTCGGTCGTAGCCATGCCACAGTGCAACGATGGCACCTTGACCTCTCGTACATCGACAGACGTTAATACAGTAGTAGTACTACTGCTTAGGCTCCGTTCGGTTTATTCCATATCCGGTTTGTTCGGTTTTTTTTTTTAAATTTTAACAGTGTTTTCTCTCTCATATCATTTCAGTCAGAACACTGGACTTAAAGCTGGTAATGTAAGTTTACTGAGCTTATCCCAGGTGAATCTAGCTTACCAAAGCAAAGAAATTAGACATTGCTAACGTTACCGAGAGAACCCATAGTGGCTAGTGGGATTCATCACTTCATCGTTCGTAGATTTTGCTTTGACCATGCATGCATGGACCACAGTATGATCCTCTACTCTTAAAACATGGTCGAGTTTTCACGAAATTTAATTATTTTTGAGGCAGAGCGGAGGAACAGTTAGGACACATGCTGCACTCAGACTCACCGACGGTGGCGCTGCGGTAGGTGGTGTAGCCGTCGACGTAGCTGCGGTGCCCGGAGATGACCGTGACGCCCATGCCGTCGCCGACCAGCATCAGGTTCCACTTCTTCTTCTTCACCTCCACCGTCTCCCTGTACACGCCTTTCTTCACGTAGATCACGTGCCGCGCAGCGCTCTGCGATGGCGCCGCCTCCACGGCCGCGCTCACCGTCGTGAAGTTGCCGCTCCCGTCCTGCGCCACCACGGCGTCCACCGGCAGGCCCCCGGGCCCCACGGGCATCTGCAGCAGTCGCCGATCACTCGCGCGCACCCACCGCGGCGGGGCGGCGGCGCCGAGGCCGGCGCCGCGGAGGGAGGAGGAGGACGCCGCGGCGTTCGCGGAGGCGGCTTCGTCGGCCGCGGCGGCGGCGACCTGGCCGAGGCCGTCGGCGAGGAGCGAGGTGACGGCGTCGAGCCCCGTGGCGACGAGCGAGGCCAGCGGGGAGCCGGTCTGGTCCAGGCCTTCCTTGCAGGTGTCCTGGTTCCCGAGCGCGCCGCTCAGCCAGGACCGCAGGTCGCACCGCGCGTCGCCGGTGCCGACGAGGCGGCCGCCCGCCCCCGCCCCCGCCTCGGCGGGGCTGTATTCGTCGTCCGAAGTGGTGGACATGGACCACGACAGCTCGTCGGAGGAGAGGTCGAGGAGGTCGAGGCAGTCGGCGACGGCGGAGGTCAGGCGGAGGTCGCCGCCGAGGATGCCGCCGCCGATGGGAAACGACGAGATGATGGACACCACGCCCCTGATCGCGTCCAGCGTCTCGCGCAGCGTGGAGATCAGCCCCGCCGAGACGCCGCCGCCCTCCACCCTTGCCTTCGCCGCCGGGGGCGCCGGCGCCGGCGACGAAGGCCTCGGCGGGTGTGCATTGTTCGGGGGAAGCAGGGACGAGGCACTAGCAGCAGCAGCCAGCAGCAGGGAGAGCACGAGGAGGAGCTGAGGTGCTGCGGCGCGCGGAGACGTCGACGCCGACGCCATTGTTCGCGCTGGCTAGCTAGCGAGAGTGAGTGTGTCGGTTGTGGGTTCCTGCTCGGGGGCATGGGTTTTATAAGGGGGTGTTTGAATCTGGTCACTAAAATCTAGGAAATGTCACGCGAGGGTGTCATATGGGGTGTTTGATATTAATAAAAAAATAAATTACAGAATTCATCAATATTTCACGAGACGAATTTATTAAGCATAATTAATCTACCATTACCGTATGTTTACTGTAGCACTATATTATCAAATAATGAACTAATTAGGTTTAAAGGATTCGTATCGTAAATTAGTCGTAAGTTGTGCGATTAGTTTAGTAATTAGTCTATATTTAATATTGTTCAAACATCCGATGAAACAGCTACTAAAGTTTAGAGGAGAAACCAAACATCCGGGAAGCATAATCCAACTTTGTATTGGCAACTGTTTTCTTTGTAAGCAACAGTTTGGGCATGTGTGGTGTCGCTGAACAGGTAGGGTAGTGACGACAGAAAACGGGGTTTAGTCGTACAAGAAAGAGGCTTTGGAGGCTTCCCTCTCTGCACCAGTATTCGTTACAGGTGCTTTCAGAGAGGTGTAGCCGTCGGTTGCTTTGCCTCCGCACTGATCAACTTTAAAGCAGGCGGTCGGTAAGCAACACTTAAGTGACATTGTTTTTTTAAGTGAACACAAGTGACATTGTTAAGCAGCATTGTAGATTTGCTTATACTAGCACGTTTGTCTTTGTCCGTCGTTTGATGACCTAGCACACGAAGCACTCCATCCCCAGCCTGTGCAGGAACAGTAGGGCACAGTGACCAAAAGATCGTCCAGCCAGCCAAAGGTGCTTTCCAGACACACTGGCTCTACCAGTGAAGAACAGTCCAGTCCAGAACCTGGATCGGCCGTTCCCCGGCCTCGCTTTCCCAAATAGGAGCAGCGGTACGTACACGCGGCGCTGCTCTTTATGATTATTCTCATGTTCTCTTGTAGGAGTATCATCTCCTGTCTGTGGCCCGGGCCGCCGGGCGCCTGGCTGTGTGCCGGTGCCGTCGATCCTTCGGCGGGAAGCAACTGGTAGGACAGCTTTATCGGGTCAGGGCATCAGGGGCATGCTTGCGTGAAGCACAGCTGCACAGGCAGAGATGTGTCGTGTGCCCGCCTGTACAGCAGCCGAGGGCCACCCATAGTACCGTCACTGCCCACAGCGCCTTGGATCGATTGCATTGCAGCCTGGCAGCCTGCGTCGCTTGGATGCTTGCGCGCGTCCAAACCGCGTTGTTGTGTTTGTGCGTGTGTAAAGCAGCACGCGAGAGCGACCAAGCGACGAGCCTTTTGTGCTACTGCTAGATGGCGGTGCCGCGGTGGGAGGGCGGATGACGACGCGACTAAATCGCGAACGTTCACTCAATTTCACTCGGGCGAACCATCCGACAACCACTGTAATTTCTATTTTAGAAAATAAACAAATCCCACCACTTTCTCCATTCGGTAGGTAGGCGCTTTATTTTATTTTTGCACATGCGAACGCGCCGGTCTCATTTTCTTTTTGCGCGCGTGCACGCGAGCCTGTCGTTCTCTTTCCTCTCGCGCATAACTTACACAACCTGACTTACACAGCATAACTTCAAAGGAATAAGTTAAGCATACTAAGTTATAAAACATCCTCTTTAGGTCTCATCAGCATTTTTCTTTTCGTTTTAGAAACTAATAAGTCGAGAACATGAAAAAGGAGTTTAAAAAAGGATAGTGGAGGAAAATAAAAGTAACTTTTACACCATAGACTACATAACAAAATCCCATGAGATAATGCAAACTTCAATAACAAGTTACAAAATAGATTTATATAGCTTGCACAACTATGATATTCAGCATTTGTGTCTTCAATGGTAAGATTTGTAAAATATTTAATATTTAAAAATCATAAATACAAAAAGAACAAAGTTGTCAACAAAGAAACACATAACTTAATAGCAAAAACTAACATAGTAATCTAACATAGGGTGATAAATATAAAACTAAGTACAGTAAGTTGATCATATATAACTCTATACAAGAAGTTAATCAAATACGTTAGGTTGCATATACATAAAAAGACATGTTAGCTGCATAACTTCGAACAATAAGTTAATCAAATATGTAGGTATCATACACATGAGAACACAAGTTAGATACATAACTATGTACCATAAGTTAATCAAATAAGTTAACTAGCATGTACATGAAAAGATAAGTTAGGTACGACTTATACATATAACTTATACACATAACTTCAACATATACCTTCAACGTAACAAAGTTAAAGCACATACTTATACATATAACTTACTACGTGACAAAGTTATATGCATAACTTTTATGTATATTGTGGAACAAACTTATTAATATAATTCCATAGAAAGCTATAAAAATTATACAGAAAAGTTTTATGTATAACTTGTTTGTATAACTTAGATATATAACTTGATGAATGACTTAGATGCAAAGTTGGACGTATAAGTTATATTCAAGAACATAGATGTACAAATTAATATCATAACATATTAGTAGAAATATAAAAACAATGTACTAAAATAATTATATAGTATAACTTATAAATATATAATAAAAAAGAGAGAAAATGGTAGAAAAAACAAAAAAGAAGAAAAAAGACGTCCGTGCAGGTGTAGCCATGCCATCGAATGAATCCAACCAGTAAAAAGTTATTCAATACAACTTGTGTGTATAAATTATAAGTTATATGTTATATGTCATAATTTAATACACATAAATTGGTACTGAAAAAATTTCTTCGAAACATATGCAAGTAAGGTCTAGTTTTGTTCGTCTTGTTGCGTAAAACACAATGGTGCAAACGAAATTAAAAACTGATATATCGTTCAGAAGTTATAGCATTTTGAAATAAATATTTTCCTTTTCGAAAAAGTGATATCAGCAGCCGGCAGCCAGTCCATCTGAACATGAATTGGGTGAACGCTCGCACAATTGGATTTGAGGGCGGACGATTCTCCGGCGGTGAAAAGACTGTTCAAGAATGGAGTTGCCTTTGGGCATTCGACCAGAGTGCCAGACCAATCGCTTCTGTGGCGCCCACCCCACCACCCTCCCTCGATTGATCCCGGTTAACTCGTCTCAGTCTTGCCTCTTGCGATGCCAACTAACCGCCTACAACTAGTAGCAGTTTATACGAAGGCACGAAATGGCCAAATAGAAGTTTAAGATGTTTTTTTTTTGAAGAATTTTATAACCTTTACATCGAGTAAACATAATAATCATGAATGTACTTCTAGCCTCGGTATAAAAGCATAATGCCTAAAAACAGGCAAGAGCATGTGCCATTACAATGACTGTCAATGTCCATGTGTCGGAGAAAACACCGTGACCGTCTGCACCGATTGCTCCGACGCCACTATAATCAAAACTGACGAGGTAAGCTTCTAGAGAATAACCCAAGTGTGGAGCCAACAGCACCTACAAAGGAGAATAAGCATGTTATTTTTCAAATATCAAATCATGTCTACATAACCATAGTGACCAACAAGTAGAAGTAGCTACGATCTGACAGAACTAAAGGTTTTAAATCCCTTCCAAACCCTTGAAGCCAACCTCAGAACATATGAGAAATATTATGAAGTTGAGGAAAGCTTAAAGCAATATGTATGTAGCCCCAAACCGCACAGGTAAAACGGCATTCAAGGAAGACACGCTTAATTGTATTGTGCCAAAAGCAACACTCTTTACTACCTTGTTAATTGCGTTTTGCTAAATTGTCTTATGTAAAATCACTCCTCTATGAAGATACCAAAGAAAAAAATTACCTTTAGTGGAGCCTTTAGTTTTTAAATGATTTTGTTTAAGTTGAGAACATCTAGGTGAATCAAAGCCAATAATGTGATCTCACCGAGGGTTGGCTATCGGGTCCAAATTCCAGTGAAATAAATCATGCCCTTGTGTAAGCATGATATTAGCATTGTGAGGAAGAAGTTCATTTCACGCTACTAATTTATGTCGAATCACATCATGTCTCCATGAAATGTTTAGAATATTGTATAAGCAAGGTTATTGTTCCTTCAAAGTTGAGTTTTCCAACTATTTATCCTCCAGAATCTCACTTGGACCGTCTTTGATTATGACTGTTGGATTGTCGGGGTTACATAACCAGGGTACCCCAAAGCACGGTTATAGAGTCACTCAGGACGGCCCAGCCGGCCTCAGCCCAGCAAAATCACGACCTGTCTCGACCTCTCGCCCCTGAGCCGTACGAGGCCCGCCTCGACCTCTCCCGCCTCTCGACCACGCACCGTGTGGTGCCCTCCACTACCTCCGGCCTTAGCCACTAGGAAAGGACGGGAGGTGGGTGGTGCATTAAAAAGCACACTGCCCGGACGGGACACGCACGCACACACTCCGCCTGGTACGAGAAGGATGACCACCCCTCTGATCGCCAGGTCTCGAGGCGGGGCGTCATCTTGGACAACACTCCGCTGACAGACAAGACAACACAATAACTCGACTACGTCACCCCGCGTGGCTCGGCACTGTCCAAATCCCGTCTAGCCTGATAGACGGGTGTACAATCACACCTACTACAGTATGGGAATTATGACCAGGAGTCAGCTCCTCACAAACCAGCCGCATCCAATGTCCCTGACCCGACCACGAGAGGTCGGGGCAACGGGGTCGCGACCCAGGGAGTAGGTAGCCCACGATGGACAGCCACGCTCCCCGTACAATGACATTATAACTTCTCCCAGAAGAAATGTACGCCAGGTCGAAGACTACGACGACTACAACGAGCCCACGCTGTGCAGGGGAGTTGGTGAACAACCATCACTCCCACGGCCAGCACAGTGCCGCCGCCGTACGCCATGCCTTAGCATGGGAAGCCAGACCCTGACGACCATGCCTGGACGTGCTGACAAGACCGGATGGATTGCTAACCAAGCTTACTAGCCTCTCCCTCCCTCAGGCTCTTGACCACTCGGGTCGGAAGAACCCTACACTTCTGCATGTAACCTGGCCCCCGCGGCTATATAAGGGGAGCCAGGCCTTCTTCCTAGGGGATCGATTTCTCCTGCCTCTAGCTTTCTATCCGTAGAACCCTACCTTGCATACCCCCCTATTGTAAGCCGTTTGGAGCCCTTGAACTTGAGGAACACGTACTCGTAGTCTCTGGCACGAGACGTAGGGCTTCATCTCGAACCGGTATGATTTCTTGTGTCTCGAGTGCTAGCCATCGATTCCCTTGAGCAGCGCGGCGCTAAATTTACTCGTCGGTTCTCAAAACACAGACATGGATCATACGCTGAACCGACACGGTGGATCACGACCCACTTTCACAAACGACGATGAAAACAAGCTCTAATAAAGTTTGTGGAGTAGCGAAGGATCCAAAGTAGAGAAAATCTTGTTTCATTTCTGTAAGACTAGACCAAAAACTACAATTAGTTATGAGATCAGACAGTTACCTTGCTTCCTCCGTGTTTGCAATTGAGGTTGAGCCATCAACATCATTCAAGGAACGAATAAGACACCAGTTAGCACTTGACAAGAATAAAGATTGAAGGGCGTGGCGTTACTCATTGTTGTTCTATTACTAAAGCGACTTGTACAGTGCTGTTGTAGTCATTTTTTACTCTTGTTCTTAGCTAATATATATTAGCTGCTAATAGATTAGCTAAGAAGTCACAACTAAGGCTTTGTTTAGATCCAAGAAGATAATAGTTAGCTGCTAATAATTAGCTCTTTGAATCCATACAGGTCAGCTAATTATTAGCTTAACTCAAACTAACAACTATTTTACTAGTTGAACAAAACTTGTTAATAGCAGCTAATATTAGATGTGATCTATTAGCTAGCTAACTATTAACAGCTAATGGATCGAAACAGAGCCTAATATTAACTACTATTAACTTGTGTAGAAAACTAGTGAAATAATTCTTATTAGTTTAGTATTCAGCTATCAATTAGTTAAACTATTAGCTTGACCTAGATCAAGAAGCTAATTAGCTAATAATTAGTTCCTTGATCCAAACAGGACCCCAATCTATGATGTCAGATATTATGCCATGCATTACCTTTAGCTTAGCGCTAGATTTTGGCCAATGACCCCTTTGGAACAAGTTATATCTAGAAATATGACTCAAACTCTAGGAAAATTTTGTGTAATGACCCATACAATTTACGATTTATGCTTGAAATTTGTATTATAGGTAACTTTCCTTTCATACATTTTTGTTTCGGGTTGTCAACATGAGGAGGAAACTTATAATTGAAATTCTGGCTGTTTGGATCATTTTATTTGAAGGAATTAAAATCTACTTAATAAATTAAGTTATTTAGCTTGGAATTTGACATTCCACCACTTTCCAAAGTTCAAATATAAGTCTATCTCAAATTCATAAGGTGGTAGATGAAAATTGATTCTATAGATCACCATTCTATGTTTCTATTTTGCAACTTATAACACGCTCTTCAACTCGCTCCCTATGATAAAAATGCAACACATAAGTATCTCTCTCGTATAGCCAACAATAATATACAAATATAATCCATATACAACAATATAAACTTAATTAATATGTGTCTAAATTATGATTATTAGAATGAATTCAATTCCAAGGATCGAGACGCAAAGAAATTCTACTAAGAAAATGAATTCTTTTGACGTGTATTCAAGCGCAACCAACATCCCTTTACCATAAAGGAATAATCCTTCCCATTCCTTACAATTTTGAAGTCCTTTTTATAAGAAGATCATGCATGGAAAATCCATCAGCTTTGAAAACTCTGCCTTTGTTTTTTTAATGGAAACCTTGCTCCATTTGAAACCTCATAAAATCTTTACACGATCCTACATAAATCGTACGACAGTGAAATTGTCAATTCGTAGAACTAGGAAACGGATTCATCATAGTACAAAATAGTTGGTTTTTCAGCGGAGAGGAAAACACAAAGAAACGGCCTCGTTTTCTTATTGGGCTCGGCCCATACTTAACACAGTGAACCCAGACATCCATATGTTCTCAGCCCAAAGCCATCGCCAAGTATCCCTCCACCCATTCCTCTCGGCCTCGCTTCTCTCCCGACGCCCTTCACTGCCGGAGCGGCAGGAGCACGCCGCCAGATCACGGGAACCCACAGCTTCCCCGCTCCCGTCGGTTTCTGGTACTATCCTCTCGCTCCCTCTTCGGCCTCCCCTCCACTTGCAGCTCAGCTTCCTCGTTGTGGGGCATGAGGCTTGTTCCCGTCGCCCTTCCCGTGCCGCGCGCGCGAGGTGTTCGACGCATTGCCTCTCTGGGTTCCCATCGCCCTTCCTCCACTGCCGCTGCTCGCTCTCAAGGATGGGGACATCTTCTACAGCATGCCCCGGGGTGAGCCGCTCCACTTTGCTGGCTGCAAAACCGACTTCATTTCCACAGCTTCTGGTAACTGGCTGGTGTATCGGCGCTTCTGCGACTTGCTCTTGGTGGACCCCTTCTCTGGTGCCACCACGACCCTTCCTGCACCATCTAGCGTTCATCTCGCCGACGAATCCGAGGGTGATGATTCCATGGACGGTCATGATTCTGTAGACGAGGTTGAGGATTCTGAGTACGGCCATGATTCTGCAGACGAGGGTGATGATTCTGAGGATGGTTCTGCACCATCTAGGGTTCATCTCCCCGACGGAAACAAGGGTGATGATTCCAGGGCCGGTCATGATTCTGCAGACGAGGCTGAGGATTCTGAGGACGGCCATGATTCTGCAGACGAGGCTGATGATTCTGAGGATGGTTCTACACCATCCAGCGTTCACCTCCCCAATGAAAACAAAGGTGATGATTCCAGGGCCGGTCATGATTCCACAGTCGAGGGTGAGGATTCTGAGGACAGCCATGATTCTGCAGACGAGGGTGATGATTCTGAGGATGGTTCTACGCCATCTAAGGTTCATCTCCTCGACAAAGACGAGGGTGATGATTCCAGGGACGGTCATGATTCCGCAGACGAGGGTGAGGATTCTGAGGGCGGCCATGATTCTGCAGGCGTGGGTGATGATTCTGAGGATGGTTCTGTTTACACCGACAGATCAGAGATGCTATCAATGGACGTGAAACACTTTGAAGTGATCAAACTAATGGTGTGCTCGCCCAACCTCATCGCTGCACTGTTAAAAGGTAGCAAAAACAATCGGATTGCAGTGTGCCGGCCAGGAGGCTCCAAGTGGTCAGTAGCATGGGACCTGTCTTTGTGGATTACTGACATGGCTTTCTACCAAGGGAAGCTCTACGTTGTTGACTATCATGAGGACCTCTTGGCTCTGGACATCAGCCCACATCAGCGTGGATGACAAGACGGATGATCCACGGGTTTCTCGTATTGGACGGGTCATCAATGTTTATCAATTTGATAATGAGCTGACCTTGTTGAGGATGCTCTACCTGGTTGAGTCGTGTGGCTCATTGTTGCTGGTGCATAGAAGGATTTTCCATAAGCATGTTCATGGCGACAGACAGATACACACTTTTGCTGGACAGTGAGCCTGATGTTTCGATATCCGAGGCAGACTTTGGGCGATCACAGTGGCGCAGGCTGACGACCCTTGCTGACGATGAGGCACTGTTTTTAGGGCCATGCTCCAGGGCTGTTTGCATGCCTCAGGGTGACTCACCGGGCAATCGCGTGTGGTTCTTGGATGACTACAAGGACTTTCACCTTTGGAATGAGTGGCCTAGCAGCTTGAGTTCTGACACCAGCAGCGTGGCAAACCCCAAGCCTTTCTCGCCTCTGCCAATGATCTCGTGGAGGGGCTTCCTGGCAAATTCAGGTGCTGCATGGCTCTTCCCTTCAAACTGATGCTGTTGGTTGCACGGTTGTTACAATCAAAGCTGTTAAAGGCACCATGTGTTTCTCTGACGGTAGTACGGTGGCCTTCTGGCATTCGCAATGCTGACTTACTTTTGGATGATTATGTTGTGCTTAGCTTTGTGGACTTGTAATGGGAACCTTGTGGAAGAATTCTGTTAGTTGCTAGTAACCTATTCTGTTAAGCATTTGGATGGGGAAGTCGCAATGGTGCTGTTTGATCTGTGAATGCTGTCTTATCTATCGTCAATCTTTTGTCGTGGAGTAATACTTTGATAGGTTTGTGGGTTGCTTGCTATGCTGTTTTAGGTTAAGCCCATGGTCCTTGTGGGAACTAAGCCAAAAATTTGTTGTATGCATCCCGTGACACTTTTGGACGAAGTGAAATGTTTCTGTTGAGATGGATGGTGTTTCTGGAAGGGGACGATTGGTGCTCTCATCTCATGTTTGTTTCCAAGGAACATGAACAAGTTATAATTGTGTAATTAACCCGCTAGGAATTATCACTTGTGTTACTGAATGAGAGTGCCATATGCATCCGTTAGTTTCATTATGCCTGTAGTCATGTACTGTATCATTGCAGGCCTCATTAGATCGCTCACCTTGAAGTTCAGGTTGTTGTTACTATCCCCTCGTGGAAGTTATAGCTCCATATATAGTCATCTCAGTTTGAACAACATCAGACTATCAGTACTTATCTGATCGTAGTATGGTGCAGTGTAACACACAGTGTTGAGCATCTAAATATCTGTTTAGGAATAGTGCAAACTTCTCGCATTGATATTTAACCGTTGCTGGCGAAATAATTTACTTGTATTCTCGGGAGACTCTCTCTTTTGGCCATATCTGTGTCCCCAGGTTGAAGTTCCTTAACCCCTATCTGGAAGGAAAAAGCCCTATTGACCTCCAGCAAGTATTGTTGTGGTCCGATCAATTACCCAATCGAATTAGAAACTCGATGTTTTTGTTGTAACTAAATGAAACCCATCTTTTTTGTTCCCTTTAGTGGTTTGCAGATGTTTTCGTTGTAACTACTAAAACCGATCTCTTTTTGTTCCTTTGGTGGTTTGCAAGACGGTTTAGTTCGTGTCGCCACATCAAACATCTTATGTGGCGCTACATCGTCAATGAGATGTAAATTGGACTATGTTAACATGCCTCGCAATGGGTAAATGTATGAAGTGCAAAGGATTTGTACTCGTCGTTTGTTCTTTTGGTAACACAGCAACATTGTACAATACTCGTGTTTATTTTCCAAAAATAAAAGGGAACACTCCTGTTGTTTTCTTCGTCCCCGCTTGGGGCCTTAGCCTAATTTTATGTACAGGTAAGACAGCTGTACTCCAGTAACTGTTATATTTACACGCAAAAACTACAGCAGCCGTGGCGTCCGTATGTTTGTTCAGTCATCTGTTCATACATTCCAACTAGAGATGAGCACGAAAGTTCCTAGACCTTGGAATTCGCAAAGGTAACCTGCACAAAGAGAGGAAAAAAGTGTGGGGTTGGATACCATGAGTATGTGAAATGACCCAAATGCTATTTGAATTCAGTATGAAAGCTACAACTTCCTATAAACTTCATTCAAAATTATAGTTCACTTTGGCTTTTTCCTAAGTCAAACTATTTTTTAACTTTCATCAAGTCTAGAAAATTGCACAAAATCTATCACATCAAATTTGTTTGGTTAAATTCTCCATACAACATATTTTAAAAGTGCATTTACTTTTGTAGATGATAATATATTTTAAGAAAACTTGGTCAAAGTTAGAGATTTGACTTAGGGCAAAGCCAAAGTGAAATATAATTTGAAATGGAAGGAGTACAAAACTGCATCCATGGGTGTAAAATTAATGCAGACAGCAATCACCAAAATACATGCAGCGATATATATGGGGAGCGGCAGTTAAGAGCCTACCATTTAATGGATGGCAACCAGCAGCCTGTTCGGGAGGCCATATCGTATCGTGGATTATTTACTGCTGGCTGGTTTGGTGTGAGAGAAAAACACTGTTCCCGGCTGGAAATTTACGATCGTTTACGAGCAAGCGAACAAGCTGCAGATAGCGAGATTCCTGACACGACATCTCTGTGCATACTGAAGATTTCAAAGCAGATTCTGCACTACCGCAAATTATACTGCAGGTCCTCGTCAGTCCAGCACTCCAGCTTCACAAAGATGGAACTTTGGCATAGCAGTAGTCTCATTCCAAGCCTTATTTAGCAGACACACTTGCCTTTTCCTTTTCCTTTTCCTTTTCCAGTTTCTTTTTCTCAGCCTCCGCGTTTCGAGCATTTTCCTCACGTGATTTTTTGAACATATTCACAAAAATAACCAAAATTGATGTCACTGTAAATAAAAGAGCAATAATTGGTCAGGTAAACATAAGAACTACATACAGCTATGCAACAAAATTGATTCGTGTCAATCATACAAAGTATGATGGTTCAGTTCGCAGGGCAACTGAAGGGGCTCAGGCAGTCAGATCAATTTAAGTAGCTAACCAGTCGCCGATATTAGCAATTTCAATAAAAAGTTACAGTTTAGATAAAAGAAGACAATCAGTGGAAAAGTACTCAAGGCCTCAAGGGGCTAAAGAATAAAAAAGTTGCAGTTTTGATAAAAGAAGCAGAATTATGTTTGACATAATGTAATGCGCAAACTGAAGCCTATGGTGTCCTAGTGGGGTAATCAAGATTAGATTACTCAAAGGTCATTTTTTGCTTAAATATCCTGTTCTAAGAAAATTTGATTGGTATTGACTTCCATTACTACATGTTCAGATGGGATTAGCATGAATAATGTAAATGTGTCTAGTAAAACGTTTAAACACAACAAACGCTAAAATATACCTTGCTCGAACGGGCAGCGTGCAGGATCCTCACCAAAATACTGAGCTAGCGAATCAGCGTTTCTTCCCTGCAAGACTAAAATATCAGAATCTATAACAAACAGGAAAACAGGGTAAATACTTTTTATGGCAGTGACTCACCACTTCAGCATACAAGGAAATGAGGGACCTAACCTCAGCTTCTGCTGCATCAAGAAAGCTTTTCAATGCCTGTACAACCAATCTTAGTTCAGTCGGTAAAGAAGTCATCGTTATTGTTCACCTACTAGGCTACTACACATGTAAATTTACTTGAGGTGCGCACTATGCATGCCTAGGCACTTGTCACAACTCACAAGTATGTTGAACATTTACATTTACATGCAATTTTACTGCTATACATATAAAACTACGAATCAGGAAACACACACACACACACACACACACACACACACACACAACTGCTCATATTTCAGCACTGGTGGAGAGGCGCACCAGAGTTAGAGCCTCTGAGGTGGCAGGGTAAGAACAGGAAGAAAAAATACAAGAAATATAGTGAGTGCAAGATATGGGGACATGAACCTGCATTTTTGCCTTAATGGATACTAAACCATCTTGAAGTGATGTATTGACATAAACTGATTTAAGTTCAGTCATCCAGCAACTCCTAAAAGAAGAGATAAACCCTACCATACCTTACGAAAGCCAACTGAAATTGCACCATCACTTTCTGAAGCAGCTAGCTCCTGCTCCACCTTCTCAAGACCTTTGTTTATTGCTTGCATTTCTTCCATAAGCAATTTCAGTTGGATCTGTGGGGATTAACAAATTCAATTGTTTCAGAACATACTTGATGAGTAGAAAGCTCATTATTCACCCAGAAGTGCAAAAGATAAGTTGATTGAAATACCTTGGAAGCTGCTTCCAAATAAATTAGGTCTTTGTCAAAATCAAGAAGTTCAGGCATTTTCTCAGCAAGAAGCTAGCGTGTATAGAAATGGAAAGAAGTTAGCTAAATTATGAATGAAAAAAATGACAGACTAACAGCCACAAAGCAGACGAATAAATCTGGCATGCAAGGAGCAAAGTGGAGTTGCCATGAAACTGGGTTAAAAGTAGATAATATTCATTGATTGGCATTATACAGTGTGGAACATTAGCATGCCAGGCCACTTTTACAAGCATGTGTGGTTATGATGTAAAACAAAAGTAGCACAGTGGCCAGTTACCCACCTATATAGCACGTGTTTGGATAACTAGAACAAGACTAGTACCTGGACACTATCAGTTTACTGGGAAGCACCCATATTTCTGACTAAAACCATACTTTGCAGTTAACCAGGTAAAGTTAGTCAGGACCAGATAACTCGTTTGAAAGCAGGGAAAATCAATCTAGCTCACCGACAACTCGTTTGAAAGCCGGGAAAAGCAGTCTAACTCACAATATCTTAACGATAACTCTAGACATAAACCCGCCCAGCAAGCTTTAGCCAAAACCTTGGTCAGATTTTCAGACATTTGCCATTGACTTTCTGAAACCTTTGAAGTACACAAGCAAACCCTTGACCACCACCTCCCTAGGACTGTAACTTGCATGGGAGATATTCTCAAAAGAAAATGGTTCAAGGTCAACAAATACATGCCTGAATCTGGTTGGACTGCTATAACTGTAATTCTGTAAACTTAAAGCAAGCTTTGTATAGGCACACATTTAATACAAGCTGATATGGTAAGATCTTAGTATCTAACTGTCGGGTTCATAAACCCAGGGTCCCTCGGGGACCGGCTTCCACGCCAAAGCTCGGCCCAAGCAGGCAGCACACAACTCATGGGCCGGCCCACGAGTCTAAAAACAACAGGCCGGAAGAGCGGTCCAGTCACCGACCGGAAGGTCTGACCGAAGAGGAACGGCGCCCGCTCGTCGACTATTTCGGCCCACCTCTCCGACCGGAGCGCTCGCTTCGGACTCCAGCCGCCTCCGGACGGCCTCTCCGGCCGGAAGGCCCGGCCCAAGCGCTACTTCCGACTCCGACCCCGCGTCTCCGACCGGGGGTGCGCAGAAACCCTACTCACCGCTCTTCTCCGACTGGCACGACCAGGGCCGACTAGGGCCATCCGACCGGGGACGCTCGCTCGGAAGGAGCCAGGGACGAACGGGGAAAGCAAGCCAGGCCGCATAAGTCAAACCACGATACCAGGGACCATACCCTATACGCCTGCAGGAACAGTACTCTGCAACCGCCCTGACAAACAGTATTGTAGGCGCCGGCTTTTACCGCTACAGTATTGTGGGTGCCGTTAAAAACCCCATACGGTAAGGCCCCCCCACATGCCTCTGGGCATCCATAGTGTTGTGGGCGCCGGGATTTACCGTACCAGGTGAACCTGGTAAAACTCCTCACATGCCTCTAGGCATCAACAGTGTTTGCAGGTACCGACATCTGCCATTTCGGAAGAAGGCAACGCAACCTCCCAAACGTGCATCTGACACTCCACAGTGACGACCAACAGTGTTGTAGGCGCCTACCATTATCTTGTACCCGCCGGCATGGGCGACGGAGCCCAGTAGCATACGTACCCTCACCCTCTCACTTGTAAAGCCGTCCCTTTTATCTATAAAAGGGGATGCGCTCCCTCCAAACAAAGGAGAGCTTCTTTAGTCTTTTTGAGTAAACCAACATCGATCGAGTTCATCAGCTCACAACTACAGAACCGCCGGGTTCGTACCCCAAGCACACGCTTGAACAATTAGCTCATAGCGTAGTTCCTGTCGCTCTTGGCCCTTCCGACCGGAGCCGACCGGACCTCTTGTACACCCCATTTTTCTCCTTCTCGTTTGTAACCCCACTGCAAACTTCGAGCACCTGGGCTCAGGAATAAAGTCACTGACCGACCCAAACTGGACGTAGGGCACGTTGCCTGAACCAGTATAAACCATGTGTCATTGAGTGCTAGGCCACCTCCGATCACAACGTACGGCAAAACTACAAATATTTACTAGTTGGTCACATTCTGCACCGACACTAACTGTTACAAAGTGAATCCATTGACCGCTTAAGGCAATTGACATATCAATATGGACCTATGGTGACAATTGACCTTTGGGATATTTGGAGTATCCTAGCATTGTTGTCTGATTGTATCAGTTTTTGTCAATTCTAGAGATAAACAGTTACTAATCTTTTTTTTAACACTGAGCTACCATGTACCAAATAGATACTAAACACATGGAGCATTAGAATTTGAAAAGAACTCTTTAGAGGTAATATTTTCACCACTAATCTCTTTACAATATAGCACCAAGTGCTACAACTGATGTCATCTTAAGAGATATTTGATACATTAATCCATGCAAATAACTTTTGTGCACTAAGTATGCATATAATTTGACTAATCGTTGGTCCAAATTATGAATAGAGTATAATACAAATGCTGGGAATCAACAAACAACAACAACAACAAAAAAAGAAGCCTTTTAGCCCCAAGCAAGTTGCAGTAGGCCAGAGTTAAAACCCAACATGAGTCACCAAAGGGAAAAGAAAGAGAACGGAAATAAATACATAGCCACATGGGGCATCAATAATAGTGATATAATCAGGGATCTAAGACTTCTTATGGATAATGACTAATGAAGCTTATTAAATATAAACGAGTCATAAGTGTGATTCAGAATTAGCACCACATCAGCATGTAGAAGGGCTAGTGGCCACTGGAGTACAATCTCGTGTGCTCTGCCATATTAGGGAAGAGAGGCTAGGGGCACACTAATGTTCATATCTAACAAAAGCTGATCATGAAGTATGTAACATGTGTTCAGTAGTAAAGACCTGTAAGGTTTAACTGATTAAGAATGTGGCAACAGTACATTTATAACAAATCTCAGTGACAAGTGAATACCTTGCATAAATAATGCATCAGCGTCATTTTATTATTTCTAGCTCGAGTATCCGACAGTTTAAGAAGGCTGTCTAATCTGAAGCCAACAGCAGATCCTGTTCAATCAATCCACAGACAAGGGCATCACGGAAAGTTCTCAGAGAAAAGGCATTGCACATGACTTCTCTGCAGTTATTTAATAGGAACTTGCTTCTATGCTTCACCTGTTTAATGCGAGTCACACAAATCTTGAAGCACTCCAAGGGGTGAATCATTCAAATTCACTCTTGACTTTGTGCTTTAGGTTGTGGAACTCCCAGGGGGTGAAGCATAGAAGCACCTTCCTAAAATACCTCGTGCTGTCCCTTGATTTAGTGCATTCCCCAGTGTGAGAATGGTCTGCATTATCTGTCGTAACTTCAGAGACTCTTTGACCTGCATAAATCAAGCAATTAAGCCAGCACATCGGTATAACATATCTCAATATTGTAACAGAGTATTGCCATACCTCCTTTGTTGCATCGTTTATGGTGGTTAGGTTAGTTCTTGACTCATCTACCTGCGAAAAGGTCAGTTATTACAATCACATACAGACACACTACAAAATTATGGAGGAGACACATATTTCAGGCAAGTTGGCTAGGGGTTCACCAAACCTGTGTTGAGAAAGTAATTCTGAAAGCAAAAACTCTTAGCTTGGCCTCTACACGTGGAACTTTCATCAGCTCCAGGAAGAACTACATTGTAGTTTAAAGCTTCCATCAGCACATAAAGGAGGCCCTTTCCAAAAAAAAAGGAGGCACTGTGTGAAACGAAACACAGAACTCACCTGTTCGCATTTCCCAAGCATTTCTTTGTTGCCATTATAACCCTGAAATGTGAGACAAGGAAAGGACACACATTTATGATAAAAAACATGTCAAATTCTGATTAGGAAAGCAAGTCAAATCATAAGGCGAGTACAGAAAACATGTGAAAAGAATTACCTTCAACATCTCGATCTCTTCTTTTGTAGGGCAAAACTTAATGAGATTCTCCACTTGGTCATTATCGAGAACAGAAGTGTCGAGAGCCAAAATTGCATTCTGCCAGAGACAATCATAAAACAAAATTATGTGGGAGTACAAAATAAGAACCAGACTGGCAGGGATTTATTGAAGTGCCAACATAACAATGTGCAATGTCATACGTATGACAAATTACCTAAGAAACAAAAGCATGCATCTAAAAATCATACAGTTCAGCGATGGCTTTAACAAATAATGATCACATATGCCAGTATTAGCAAAGACTGGCAGGGATTTATTGGAAGTGCCAACATAAACAATGTGCAATGTCATAAGTGTGACAAATTACCTAAGAAACAAAACATGCATCTAGAAATCATACAGTTCAGAAATGGCTTTACCAACTAATGATCACATATGCCAGTATTAGCAAAGAGAAACAACAAACGTTCAAGTTGATACTTTTACCATGCACCAATAAAGAATGGTCTGATCTATGAAATTATGATATAATGTAGGGAGTGTAGTGTCAATGTTGCTATGATTTTTTATATACTACAAAATCAACTGATTATGATGCATTTTAGGGTTAACATGGCAGGTACACTGAATAACAGCAGTCACTAAGAGTCATCAACGTATCACAAACTGAAACTGGAGTGCCCACTTTTATTTCTAGTAGAGACAGGTTGGACCAGGAAGTGAACTCACAATCATATCAGGTAGAGGCATTTTAATTTTTGTAAGCATTATCTCACAATTATTTGCTCGTCGCATGTCAACCTGAAATGATACTCAAACAATTAGTCTGTTGTCTATTGAACAGTGGAATATTTATTCAACATACCAATACGGAAGGAAAATCACAAGTAACTGAAATCATCACATATATTCCATCCAGTCACAAAGGTGACACTTTGGAGACCATGAAATCAATTAGTTCTAAATTGACCTATAATTTGGAGACCATGAAATCAGACAACAAACAATTTGAGATTGGATCTGTTTATAATGTCATAAATGGTCACAGTTGTGTTTGTGGGGCCATGCCATGTTCAAAATGAATGCTGGGAAAATAAAAGGAGGCTAAATATGAAACCAGCACTCCCTTCAATCACAAAAGATTCAACATTTTGAGATGTATGAAGTCACAGTTGAATTTGGCCATCCATATCTTTACTAGTGTTCAGATTGGAAGTGTGACAAGCATGTGTACATTTGGCTCAAAAAGTATTTTTGTATATCAGTTGTCAGATTTCATAAATATACTACAATGGAAATTAATGAATAATGATAAAGCTGCATTAGGTGAGTGTGTTGATGTTCTTTTTTTTTGTGACTGGAGGAAATACAAAGTAACAAGATGCCAAGGAAAAAGGAATAACCACATAAAAGAGGGCAACAATGGCAGCAGGTTTGCACCGTATGTGCAACACTAATGAACCATCCTGTATTTCCATACCAGTGTTCTTAATGGAACTAATAAACCTCACATGGGCTAGTTTAATTCAGCTAATGCAAACATAGAAAAAATATAAATTGATTCATAGAAGAAAGAGTGGTCTTCATATGGCATGCAGTAGTTTTGTCAAGAATAATAAGACAGTCTGAGTTTCAAAGTTTCAATATAATAAATAATAAAGGAAAAGGTTATGTTAGACAGCCACATATGTGCACTTGGGCTATAGGCCCGTTATGGTTATTATAGATTGATTGCTATTGTATTAGGCCAGGAGATCCGACAGTGGTCTTACTTCTATAAACCAACCCGGGGTCCTCCCTGCCTACATATGTACCCCTGCCTATTGGCCTCTAATCAATCTACTAATTTCCCGTGCAATTCCATTGCTTTCAGGTTATGAAATAAATGTGACAGGAAACAATCGAATTCTGTAGCAGCAGGAGAACAACCTTGAAGCATTCTACATTAAACAAACCATTATTCCCACAGATAGGGAGAACAATTGAACTTTTAGGAGTTTTGAGAAAATGTTACAACAAAGAAATGGATTTTTTTCATACCAGGTGAACAATTTCTGGCTTGTTAATAGCTGAACCATGTCTTGTTGCCCCCTTTTCACTTGTGCTGGTTACAACTGCAGTGGAGAACAAGCTCTCCAGTTCGGATAAATCGATATCAGGAGCCCTGACAAACAGTGCAAAAGTGAACACAGCTTTAGTGGAGAGACCTTCCATAGCTTAAATAACTAAAAGAAACTACAAGTCCAGAATCAAAGATACATTTATGATGAAAAAATATAGCACATTCTACAATCAGTTCATTTAATAAAAGGTTTGTGTTCATGAGAGCGAATAGGTCTCGGGAATTGATTGATAGATTAGCGGCAGTACAGGATACAATATATAGGCAAGGATCAATATGGTTTATAGAAACACCCAATCAACGGTGATCCTTGCCTTATCAATGTAATCTATCTATCTTAACCCCTAAGGCAGCCAGCCTAACAGGCTAGGCGCCAGGCCCAAGGCCAGCCCATTAGGGCGCCTATTCTAACACGCCCCCGCAGTCGAATTGTCAGCCACTCTGCACGTTTAGACTGGACCTAAACTCCGTGAAAACTGAAGTAGGCAGCCCTTTGGTGAAGATATCTGCATATTGCGAAGAGGTGGGAACATGCAGAACACGAAGATCACCAACGACGACTCGCTCCCGGACGAAGTGAAGATCGATCTCAATGTGCTTGGTGCGCTGATGCTGAACCGGGTTGGAGGTCATGTAGACGGCACTGATGTTGTCACAATACACCAGCGTGGCGCGTCGTAGAGGGGCATGCAGCTCCAGAAGTAGCTAGCGGAGCCAAGTAGCCTCTGCAACTCCGTTGGCCACCGCGCGATACTCGGCTTCAGCACTGGATCTCGACACTGTGTTCTGGCGCTTTGAGGACCAGGAAACAAGGTTGTCGCCAAGGAACACCGCATAGCCTGAGGTGGACTTGCGAGTGTCCGAACAACCAGCCCAATCAGCGTCGGTGTAGACGACAAGATCAGTCGAAGTAGACGGTCGCAGCAGGAGACCAAGGTGAAGAGTGCCTCGAACGTAGCGAAGAATCCTCTTCAGGCCAGCAAGGTGAGGCTCACGAGGATCATGCATGTGGAGGCGGACCTCTTTGAATCGCATATGCAATGTTTGGGCGGGTGAACGTCAGTCTCGAGAGCTCCAAAGAAGGTAAGTCTGTAGCATTAGACACGGGGGCCCCCATCACCGCAAAGAACCTTCGGATTGGTGTCAATCGGAGTGGAGCACGGCTTGCACTCATCATTCCCGCACGTTCCGTAATGTCCAAAGATATATCGTCATTGTGAGAGGAGGCGACCATCACCACTTCGTTGAACTCGCATACCAAGGAAGTGATGCAATGCACCGAGGTCTTTCATGGCGAACTCCCCGCCAAGCGCCGAGATAATCCGCCGCCAAGGAGACCGGGTGAGAGGAAGCAGTGAGGACAATGTCATCCACATAGAGTAATGTGTAGGTCAGATTCGATCCACGCCGGTAAATAAAAAGTGAGGTGTCCGACTTGGCTTCAACAAACCCAATAGACAAAGCAGAATGAGGCCATCCGGCCGCATGTACCATCGCGAGGAGCCCGCTTCAAGCCGTAGGGATTTCTTCGTAGGCGCATAAAAAGTCCGTGAGCCGGATCTTGAACCCGGACGGTCACCGCAATACACAACCTCGCATAAATTGCCATGAAGGAAGGCGTTCTTCACATCTAGCCGGTGGATGGGCCAAAGTAGAGAGCGCCAAGGAGAGCACCGTCGCGACACGATGCGGGCTTCACCACAGATCAACGCCTCATCGAAGTCAACACCAGTCACCGGGTAAAGCCACGAAGAACCCAACGTGTTTTGTACCGCTCAAGGGAGCCATCGACCGAACTTGTGCTTGAAAATCCACTTGCCGCGACGACGCTTGGCCCGAGGAGGTCGAGGCACGAGGTCCCAAGTGTGATTCTCGCAAGAGAGCACCGTGTTCTTCTTCCATAGCCGCCACCAATTGGGGTCGCCGAGAGAACTACGAAAGGTCTTTGGCACTTGCAAAGAGGGGGCGTGGTAGGCGGCGAGTATCCGATAGCCGCCTCTTCTTCGACCGCTGCGTGCTCATAGCATCTTTGGTTCATCATCGAATGATGAAAGAACGGCGCCCTTGGGTAGCGGGGGCCGGGCAGGCGAGCAAATGGAGCAGCGCGGTTGTCGGGCGGGCGGTACAGGAGGAGCCAAATGGTCGGGGTCAACGCGTAGTGGTACATGAAGGCCCGATCCTATCGGAGAGGTGGGAACCCGGCGGGTCTCTGCGCTTTGCACGCAGGCGGCGCGGATGTAGAGCGGGAGGCCTCTCCAAGCGTGTTGGGCAACGCCGCGGTGCGCTGATAGTGTCCCCGACGCCAGAAGGCCGGTGGAATGTAGAGCACGCGCCGGTGGATCATCAAAGATCATCAAGAGAGGGGCGCCCCAGCACACGTACCAGCCGCAACGTCCGGCGGGGCGCTGGAGACATCCATGGTCTTTGGTGTTCTTCTGCAGACAAAAAACTTGTGCATCGGTCCAATAGGAGGGAGCACAGGTCGAGAGTATCGTCATTGAGGAACTCAGAGGTCTGCTGGAGCACTAGGACCATGGCGCTCAACAAAGGGAAAGGTCGTTTCATCGAAGATGACATGCCGGGAGACGATGACTCTATTGGAGGAGAGGTCAAGGCAGCGGTACCCTTTGTGATGAGCGGAATAGCCTAGGAAGACACACAGGACAAACCTAGGGGCAAGTTTGTGGGGTGCAGTAGCCGACATGTTTGGGTAACATTTACAACCAAGACTCAGTAGATGATCATATGTTTGGTGGCTTGCCGAATGGCAGGCAAGGTGCGGCGTGGAAAAAACTAGAGAGTCTTGGTAGGCGATGTTGAGCGCGAATAGTTGGTCAGAGAGAGGGCCTCTACCCAAGAGGGACGGAGGCATGGACGCCTGAAAGAGCAGTGAGCGAACAACATTATTGATAGAGCGAATAATGCGTTCACTTTTACCGCTTTGAGACGATGTGTAGGGACAGGACATGCGAAGGTGGATGCCTGAAAGCGAGGAAAAAGCGACGGAGCTAGAGTTGTCAAACTCTTTCCCGTTGTCGTGACCGAATGTACTTTGACCCGGCGCCAAACTGGGTGGGCGTGAACGATGAAGTGAGCAAGCGTCGAAAGTGTCGATTTAAGTCAGCAAAGGAAACGCCCACATAATGAGTGCAATCATCAAGTATGACCAAGTAGTATTTATAACCAGAAATGCTAACAACTAGAGAGGTCCATAAATCACAATGTATAAGATCAAACTTGCTAGACGCACGGGAGGTGGACTCATAAAAGGGCAAACGAACATGACGCCCTAACTGACAAGCATGACATAACTCTGAGCAATCCTGAATATGAGAGACACTAGACGCGAAGCTTCGACAACGCCTCATGACCGGGTGGCCGAGACGCCGATGCCACAATGGGAGGAAGCCTCAGGCGACAAGGGAGTGTGTCTTTGGGGTAGGCGCAGAGGGTATAAGCGCCCAGAGCTATTGCACTGACGATCTCGGTCCGAGATGGAAGAACTTTCACGAACAACCAGCCGGGGTCAAACTCAACAGAACAATTATTGTCGGTAGTAAATTGGAGAACAAAGATAAGATTCTTAATAATTTGTGGCGACACAAGGACATTATTAAGACGTAAAATACGAGACAACTCAGAGAGCCAATTGGCGATGTGACGGAAAGAAGATAGCCATTACCGACAAACAATGGATGAAGGAGTAGGGTACCGCGGGAGAAAAACATGTGAAAGAGAGGAGGACCGAGATGTCATATGTGAAGTAGCACCGAGTCAAGTACCACTTGTTGGACGTGGGAGGGTCAGCGACGTTGTCTTTGAAAAGGCGAGGCGAGGGGCCGCCGGGTCCCAAGAGGGGGGGCCGCCACCGGGTTGTAATATTCGGGGCGACCCACCGCCCAAAGGCCATCGAGGGAGCGAGGGGAGGCGGCTGCTTGGCAAAGGGCGCAAAGAAGGCGTCTGCTTCTTCTGCAGCAGTGTTGTTATGCTGCTACTGCTACTTTGCGCAGTGAGAGGCACTGGGATGGGTGCCGCCGGTGGACGAGGTCCCCGCCACATGTGAATGGTTCCGGTCCGGGGGGGTTGTAGACGCTGGCCATGGCGCCGCCACGCCCGGCCATTGCTTCTTCTGCCATTGCCAGCGCCACCAGCTGGGCGTGACCCTGCCCGTGAGGGCCACCGCCGTTGTTGTTTTTTGCCGCCACCGCCAAGCTTTTGCGCGACGGTTGTTAGGCGGCTTGAGTTCCCACCGCCGCGTCGTGCGGACGGACGCAGGGCGGGGCTGGAGTGGTGGAGGCGGCGAGCGCGCAGCGGGCAAAAAGTCCTCTGCGGGTCTCCATGGTGAGTTCCTCGAGGATGAGGTCGTAACGGGCCTCCGTGAAGGTGGGGAACGGTCGAGCTCGACGAAGAGCGCCCCAAACGTGGTCAAGCGCTTCGTTGAGGCCGCGGATCACGTTGAGGACGAGCGTGCGGTCGGTGACGACCTCGCCAAGGGACGGAGATCATCGACCATCTTTTTCGACTTGCGGCGAGTCGGTGACGGAGAGGTCGCCTCGGGCGGTTGCGAAACCGTGTCGCGAGGTGGATGGAGCGAGCCTCGCGATTGCCAAGGAGTCGCGACTCGACGGCGAGCCGAGCATGCCGAAAGCGGTGGAGCCTCGGGCGGAGATGATCTCGCCAAGGTCGCTTGGTGGCGTGGCGGCGATCCGAGACTTGACGACGCAGATCCATCCGGGCCCAATCATTGGAATTGGGGCTAGAGGTTCCTCTCGAACGTGATCCTAGAGGGAGAACTTGCCGAGCATGAGAAGGAACCGATCACGCCAATGGTTGAAGTTACCAAATCGACGCCGAGGATGGTGGTGACGTGGTTCCGGATGTTGTTGACCGCAATGACCTCGGATGGAGCCGCAAAAGGCAACGGCCTCGTGATGCAAAGATGGCGACTGAAGATCGGGTGGCGGCGGCGAAGTGCCTCCAGTGCGGCGCCAGAGGGTTCCGAACAACGGCGGCGAAGAAGGGTCGCCGCTCGACAACGGCGCCGCGATGCCTCACTAGCGCTTGCCGGCGGCGGCGTCGCGATCCTTAGCCG